TAACAAGTGCATCGCTATTAGTAACAAGTGCATCGCTATTAGTAGCAGGAAGCTAGTAGTAGCAGGTGCATCGCTATTAGTGCCAAGAAGCTGCTAGTAGCTACTGTACGTAAGTTCCATTATAGAGCAAAGACGAGCAAAGTATATTGCCGCAAATGGCGGTTGAAAGAATGGAAATGTAGATCGCAAGAGTCTGCACCAACCTGCAGCCTACTCTGTAGCATCATCCGTATCTCAACCAACCTTCCTGCACAAATTGATCCGCTCATGGACAGAAAGGACAAAAGGTAAACCTGGCACCTTGTCTATGTGAATGCCATACGACATCATGCACACATATGTGGAATATATAGTCATGCGTATCCTGTCAGCTCAAACTGAATCAACCACTGCGCCCATGATACTTCGTGAACATCCCAAAATGACATGTCCGCAGTGCAAAAATACATATAACTGAAAAGAATGGTTCACCTTTGGATATGCTGCCGTGCTGCCCTTCGTCTTCGGCAAGAAAGGTCAGCTTGGAGGGAGGTGATCATCCTTGCGCATCGTTCGAGGTCCGTGGCACAGGAGACTTCTCAGGTCTGACATGAATCAGAATCCTGCATTGAACAAGCCGGAGGCACAGCTGTCTAAATGTGCAAAAAAGGTAGAGATTTGCTATGCTCTCAAGCCCGTGGGAGAAAACAGTGGGAAATGCTGGCAGTACTTCTTCAACAATGACAAGCCGGCCGCTTTTTCAAAGGCGTTTGGTGTACAAACAACAAACAATAGGAGGCGTTTCGACAATGGTTTCTATGCCCTGACCAGGCCTCCAGGTGTATGCCCACAGATTGCATCTCCTCCTTGCTAGCCAAGAGTTCACCATGCAAATGCCCTTGAACTCCCCTGAGGACCCGCTGTGCAAAGCGTTGTCGTTCCTGGCCGACATCGCTTTAAGTCAGTCCCCTGAGCAGCTGAGCGTTTGTTCACCAGGCCTCCTCTGTCCGTCCGCAAAAGCCTTGGAAAAGCAAAGCCAGTGCTCTGTGCAGCAGTGATTCTTGAAGCCGCCAGGCTGATACTCTCAAGATGAAGAGTTATCTACAGTTATCTGTTCCAGTCTTAACTACGACATTCCCCATGAGGAGATTACAACAACGTCAAGCAAGGCAAAGGACGCCAAGAAGCAGAACGTTGCTGGTTGGCCATTGTCTGGCTCGCCAGTTGTTCGTGGATCATAGTTCGGTCCTAGAACCACCTGGCAAAGGCTGCGCAGACTTGACTGTCAAAGGAAAGGACACGGAGAGATCCTTTTGATGTCTTCATTGCCTGTTTGTCCGCTAGTGTGCAAAGCACTTGAGTACAAAGGCAAGTCTAACATAGAATCAAAGAGAAAAGAAAAGGAAGAACGGTCTAATATAGTTTTCTATTAGGTTGGAGGCCATGGCAATTAGGTTGGAGGCCATCGCTATTTGGTTGGAGGTCATTCCTATTCGGTTCCTTTTGCTATCTGAGACACTGGGATGTTGAGGATCTTCCGGATATGGATGTGGAAGTCCTCACCTTCCGGACTGAAGGCAAAACGCGACCTGAAGGCAAAAGGCGGTCAGGAGCTGCTGAGAGGAGGGGCTGCTCATTTGCAGTCAGGGCGCTCTCCATCCCACTGGAAGAAGATTCCAGTGCCCTTTTCACCAGAGTAGGTCAAAGTTAAGCCTTCCTGCAAAGCACTACTGGAATCTGCAAAGGAGTAACAAAAACACACAGGTGGCTTTCCCTGAAGGTTCATCACTGAATCTTGCCACTGCGTTGCCTTGACATCTCCATCTTGTGACCCAACCCCCGCCTCACGCTTGTCCGTCTGATATTTCAAGCCGGGATTCTTCAGAACCTCGTCTTGGAATCCAAGCAAGCGTGTGAATTGTCAAAGCATCTGCAGCAAAATCTTGAATAGAAAAAACTTTGGAGAAAGGATCTACTCAAAAATCCTAAGACACGTTAGATGTTTGATAGTGAGGACATTATTCTTCAATTCTGGCCTTTTTCAACTCACTCACTTCCACTAGGGCAACGCTACGCTAAGAGTGCGACGCTCAGAAACTTGCCGCGGTACCTCCGTGGAATTGGTACTAGTACCAAGGGCATCGTTACTATAGTGGCAAGAAGCTACTAGTACCAAGGGCATCGCTACTAATGTGTTCGCAATATGTCCAATCCCGCTTGTACCTCTACATTCAATCAGCATTGGAACAGCTCCAGCTCGAAACACCCTTGCAAATCCCTGCAAATAATGTCAGCAAGTATGCAGGGAGGGAGGGTGCGGAGCTATGGTTCAGTTCACATTGCTAGCTGAGCCAAAGCCACCACTCCTAGTCGGGCGAGCTTCAACCCAATACAGGAGATACACAAAGTACCAAGATGAGTAGGCATCCACGAATCATGAACATTGATCTCTCTACATATCGAACATGTAAACATATCAGTATCACTAAAGTGAGCTACAGTGAATAGCTTGCAATGCTTCGCATTGACCCATCAATTTCTCCGGTGATTCTGTCAGGCCAAGTGTATTCCAAGCTAGTAGCGTCCGATCGTTCCTAGTAGAGATGCCAGGAGCCCCGTTCGTAGCGTTCTTGCTCCTAGTAAGGCCAGGAGCAGGCCAAGCGATATCAGTGACTTCAGAGGTCACATGTCCATCATTCCATCGTTGAACTTGGCTGGCTCCCGCGTG